AAAAAAAAAAAAAAAAAATTCTACTCTATAGTGAGGAAGTATTACATTAAGATTATATCAAGTTGTACTTCTGGCTCTAAAACTATTCACATTTGACACTAGTATGTGCATATTTTACCAAAATATAATCTTCCTTTGAGGCACAAACTAATTTCTCCAACATACAGATTTTAAAAGAAAGTTTTTAAAAAGATCAAGAAAAAGTTATCTAAAAAAAAAAATGTGCCAATACGTCATCTTTTCCCCAGCAAACCTTCTTTTATTTTTACAGACAAGTAACAAGATACTAGAATTATTAAAACAGTGATGTTTTTAGAAGATAAATAAAAACTTTATGTTTGAGTTTAACTATGTTATGATTGTTTGATTAAATAAGGAAAAGTAAAGAGAACAAATTTCAAATAAGGTCCAATGGCACAAGTTATACCTTTGCTTCATACAGCTGGTGCAACCGTCCCTTCTCTTGAGAAATCTGCTTAATTTTATTAGCGTTTTTCTCAAATTCCTTATTTGCATCTCTAAGTTTTCTCTCAAGTATCTCTTTTTCCTTTCGAAGGTCTAAAGATTCCTTCTCACCTCTTACATACTTCATTACCATTGCTTCTTTTTCTTGGCGTGCCTCTTCACATTTCTTGTTGGCCTTCAAAAAAACACCATCTGGTATTAATAAATGTTTTTCCAAATAGAAATATATCAAAATAAATATTTTCCTCTAATATCACCAATGTATTTTTTGGTTTTTGCACAACATTCCCAGGACTTGTTCCATGAAATTTTAAAATGAAAGAAAAAAATACAAAATTACAGAAAAATGATACAATATCACTAGTACTTGCTTGTACCCTCTCCTACTCCCTTTACCTTGGCTAACATAGCTGCTATTATCCATTTACTCCTCCAGATCCCCTTGCCCACCCTTTTCTATGCCACCCTGTGCCCCAGGAAGATGACCACCGTGGACCATATCAACAAGTTCCCTTCCCTCAAACCTCCGGTTGGGTTCGGCCAACAGGAGGTACTAGGCAGACGCTCAGGAATGTAGGCAGAGTGAGATCTGGCTCCCGAGTCAAGGAAAAGAATTCAAGATAGAGTGAATATCATGTGAAAAAATTTAAAAGTATGAAACAGTGTGATGTATTTAAGAGAAATCAAGTCATTCTATAGGGCTTATATTTGGTGTGTTGGTTAGAGTGGGAATATAAAGACAGAAAGAAAGATGGAAAGCCAAGAAGAATTTATAAACCAGAACCTTTTATCAAATGTGTTTTAGTAAGATAACTGGTGGTAGCACAGAAGCTTCATTGAAGTTGAGGAGAAGGGAGGCAGGAAAAAAACAGAATAAAGAAAGACAATTACAATAGACAAGGTGTAATATTATGAGGTTCTTTACTACAGCAGAGAATAATACACCAGGTAAAAGCCCTGTTACTCAAAAGGTCATGCGTGGATCAGTTTCAAATAAATATAACCTGAGGTGCTTGTTAAATGTTCATATTCCTAGGTGCTGGCCACCTACCTCATAGGGGATCATTGGGAATATTAAACAAGATAACATAATAACTGTTACTTAAACTACTACAGAAAGTCAGTCCATTTATGGCACAAATAAAGAGGAACCAGTTAAGGTCTTCGGGTTTGACCAGTTAAAGACGTTTACCATTGACTTGGTTGAAGATAAATATTAATAAGATAATCAACAGGATTCAATAGCCAGCTAAAATTAAACGGTGTGCAGTTCTGCTTTTTGAAGTATGGCAGATAAACCCTCTTCAATCAAGACAACAAAACTTTAAGATGAAAAACAACAAATATCTTTAAAGATATAGTTGAGTTCACAAGAATGTGTGGGAAATCTCCAAGGCTAAAAATTCTAAGACAAAGCAGAAATCCAAAATGGTATACTAGAGCTACAACTTTCATTGCCCTGTGGACATTTACCAATACCAGGCCATGTGGAGTGTGGGTGGGGGAAACGTTACAAAGTCCTTGAGAATTTATAATGCAGCTCTACCCTTTTGTAAGTTTAAGGGTTCAAAGTCATTCTACCTATCTGGTCTATGAAATGGGGAAACTTCAACCTCAAAAACTAAATTGAGGGGTATGTGTGTGTGTGCATGAACACAGGAAAACACATACCTGGAATCTATTTTGAAATAAAAATTACCAGGTTTGGTGCCTCTAGATGAAGGGTAAACAGGTGTTCATTATACTATTCTTTTGCCTTTTCTACAGGCTTGAAAATTCTCAAAAAGTTGGGAAGAAAAGTTATGGGAAAAAAGGAATGAAGCAGACCTGACCTACGAGTAATTAAATGGAACAGTCTCCAAAACTTACTTCAATAATACTCACCTCTTAGGATTGTTATGAAGATTAAAAGAGTTAATACTTGTAAAGTATTTTGGACATGGCCTGGCACATAGCTAAAACTCAACACATTAGCTACTATTATTAATGTCCTCTATACCTTTCATCATTAGGGAAGAAACATACATAGTAATGAGTATAGTATATTGCCATTTTTAAAAGAAAAAATAAAAAGGCATGGAGCAACACACAGTTTTGGAAGGATACACCGCAAACTGCCATCAGTGGTTACCTTTGAGAAGGGGGTAAAATGTTTGGAAGAAGACTTTTTATCTGTTTGAATTGTTATGCACATCTAACTACTAATTTGTTTTTATTTTAAATATATGCTAATAATAAGCTTCAGAGAGTTGGTTTTTTAAAAGCTCACTAGGGGCCGGGCGCAGTGGCTCACGCCTGTAATCCTAGCATTCTGGGAGGCCGAGGCGGGTGGATCACTCAAGGTCAGGAGTTTGAGATCAGCCTGAGCAAGGGTAAGACCCCGTCTCTACTAAAAAATAGAAAGAAATGATCTGGACAACTAAAAATATATAGAGAGAAAAAGTTAGCTGGGCATGGTGGCACATGCCTGTAGTCCCAGCTACTCGGGAGGCTGAGGCAGTAGAATCGCTTGAGCCCAGGAGTTTGAGGTTGCTGTGAGCCAGGCTGACGCCACGGCACTCACCTGGCCCGGGCAACAGAGTGAGACTCTGTCTCAAAAAAAAAAAAAGCTTACTAGGTGATTCTAATGAACAGCTACATTTGGGTCCACTAAAATCAGTAACTTCTTAAGGTTAGGCTCTGTATTTCCCTTCAATTAGTACAAAAGGATTGAGACCTGATAGAGTTTTAAATATAACGTTTCTAATGCAAAGGGTCAGCATATTGTAAAGCATTACAGAAATAAAGGTTGAGGATAATCTATTTCCTAAAGTTCTTCCAGAATTCCACCTACAGTAGTAGCTCCAGGGTAGAAAAGGTGGGATTCACACACTTAGCGGTGTAAGCAGTGAGTTAATCCTTTCTGATTCAATTTATTGTGAGGACTAATTGTTAGTTGGGAAATGTGCTAAATTTTGTGGGTACAGGAATGAAGACCTCATCCTAAAAGAGTTTAGGCAAGTAATAATAGAAAACGATTGCTTAAAATGACCTCTTCTGAGATCATATATACGAGTTCAAAAAGATTACCAAGGTATTCAATAGGGAAAACAAGCAGGTTGTAAAAAAGATGTACAATAAAGTTGGAGGGAAGTATATGACTATGTACACATAAGCATGTGTGATTTGTATATGCATATATCATAGGATACATAACCAAAATATCAGTAATAAGCTATGGAACAAAGAATGAGATACATAAGGATTGGAGGCAGGAGAAGAGGAAGTAGAGGTAAAAAAAGGACTTTCATTTTTTATCCCATATATATTGATTTTTTAAATAATTAGCATGTGTTTATGTATTGCTTTAGCATTTTTTTGAAAGGCTAATCTTACATAAATAAAAGACCTATTACCTACACACCACCAATATCCAAAATAGTCTAACATGGTTAGTTTATTTTAACAAACAAGAGTCACCAGAGTATTAAGTTAATAATGCGAATGATATGAAAAAATACCTGTTCCATCCGTTGGGCCATCTCTTTGTGTAATTGTTGAATTGCATTTTTAGCTGCAAGGTCTTGAGCTACTAGTTTATCTTTGGAAGCTTTAACTTCTATATTCAATTCCTCTATTCTTGATTCTAACTGTAAAGAAAATTATTTCCAGATTATTTTTATAACTATACCGGACCACCAATACCTCAAATAAATACAAAGAATGTAAATAAATGTAAAGAACACAATGAATATAATTTGACCATGGAAATCAAAACTGTTAGCAATGTTTCTATATCACATTGGAATTTAGTATAAATCTGAAGAGATTCTGATAAGTCAGGGTGTATATGGTAAACCCTAGAGTATCCATTAAGAAATAACTAAAAAAATACAGTAGTCCCTCCTTTTCTGCAGATTTGCTTTCCACATTTTCTGTTACCTGTGGTCAATCTCGATTTGAAAATATTAAATGGAAAATTCCAGAAACTAAAAATTCATAATTTTTAAATTGCATACCATTGTGAGTAGTATGGTAAAATCTCATGCTGTCCTGCTCCATCCCACCCCAGTTGTAAATCGTCCCTTTGTCCAGCATATCCGTGCTGTATATGCTACCTAATCATTGAAGTATCAAGTTAATAATGATAACGATGGGAAAAATATCTGTTCCATCTGTTGGGACACCTCTTCGTGTATTTCTGAATTGTATTTTTAGCTGCAAGGTCTTGAGCTACTAGTTTAACTTTGGAAGCTTTAATTTCTTATTAAGTTCCTCATAGTAGCCATCTCAGTTATCAGAACAACTGTCAAGGTATCACAGTGCTTGTGTTCAAGTAACCCCTATTTTACTTAACAACGGCTGGCCCTAAAGCACAAGAATAATGATACTGGCAATTTGGATATGCCAAAGAGAAGCCATAAAGTGCTTCCTTTAAGTGAAAAGGTAAAAGTTCTCAACTTAATAAAGAAAAAAATTGTGTGCTCAGGTTGCTAAGATCTACAGTAAGAATGCATCTTCGAACTCTGAAATCATAAAGGAAAAAGCAATCCATGCTAGTTTTGCTGTTGCATCCCAATCTGCAAAAGCTATGGCCACAGCGCGTGATAAGTGGTCAGTTAACATGGAAAAGGCATTACACTTGTGGGTAAAAGACATGAACGAAAACATGTTCTGACTGACAGCAGTTGGGTTCAATACTATCTGTAGTTTTAGGTATCCACTGGGAATCTTGGAACATATGTCCCTTGGATAAGGGGAAACTACTGTATAATGAAATATCATGAAAGAAATTTAAGTGTTATATTAGAAAATATTCACTTAAGGCAAAAAAGAAAGCAGCGAAGGAGGAATCAGGGAACAAAAAACACATGAGACATACATAAAATAAAAAGTTTAATGGCTGACATAAATCTGTCAGTAATAGCATTAAATGAAAGTGGACTGAACAATCATATCAAAAGGCAGAAACTGATACACTGAAATAAAAAACAAGATTCATCACTAATCATCAGGGAAATGCAAATTAAAACCACAATGAGGTATCACCTTATCCCAGTAAGAATGGCTTTTATTAAAAAGTCAAAAATAATAGATGCTGGCATGGATGCAGAGAGAAAAGAATGCTTATACACTGTTGGTGGGACTGCAAATTAGTACAACCCCTATGGAAAATAATATGGAGAGTCCTCAAAGAACTAAAAGTAGACCTAGCATTCAATCCAGAATCCCACTATTGGGCATCTACCTAAAGAAAAAGAAAACTTTTCATCAAAAAGACACCTGCACTTGAATGTTTTTTGCAGCACAATTCACAACTGAAAAGACATGGAATCAACCCAAGTGCCCATCAATTCATGATTGGATTAATAAAATGTGGTGTATGTATATACCATGGTGTACCACTCGGCCTTAAAAAAGTTGAATACCTTTTGTAACAATCTGGATGGAACTGGAGACCATTCTCCTAAGTATCTCAAAAATAGAAAAACAAACACCACAAGTACTCACTATTAAATCAGAACTAACCAATAAGCACATGTATACACAAAAGCAAGTAAAAGTCATTGGAAATCAATGGGGGAGGGGGGAAGGGGAAGGGCAAAAACTTACCTAATGGGTACAAGGAATGCTATTTGGGTGATGGGCACACCTATAGCCAGGACTCAAGCATTACAAAAGCAATCCATGTAACCTAAAACATTTGTACCCCCTTAATTTTTTGAAATAAAAACAAGAGAGTTTAACTTGAAAGTTAGTGCTCACCAAAACTTAGTTAGTGCCTATTTCATGTTCCAGAAAGATAAAATATCAAAGTCTTACAGAGATGTCATATGTATATATACAGTATTTCAGAAATCCATGGGATACTCAAAAGATTAAACATGAATATCCTTTACTTATGGAAAACAGGATAAAATAAATCTAAAATTGTCAAAAAAAAAAATGATTCAACCATATGCTGTCTATAGGAGGCATTTTTGGTTCAAAGACACAAACAGATTGAAAGTAAAAGGACAACAAAAGATATATCATGATATTATGCAAACAGCAATCATGGGAAGCAGGACTGGCTATACTAATATCACACAAAATAGACTAACATAAAAAATTACTAAAGATAAAAAAGAATATTTTATAATGATAAAAGGATCAATGCACCAGAAAAATGTAACAGTTATAAATATATATGCATCTAATAACACAGCACCAAAATACTGAGACAAAAACTGATAGAAACAAAGGGGGAAATAGATAAGCCAACAATAGCTGGATACTTCAATACCCTACTTTCAATAATGGATAGAATGAGATGATTAAGAAGGAAATCAGACACTTGAACACTGTAAAACAACTGAGTCTAATATATCTATACAACACACTATACCCAGTAATAACAGTATATACGTACATTCTCATCAAGTGTATATGGAATATTCTCCAGAATAGAATATATGCTAGGTTATAACAAACCTCAATAAATTTAAAAGACTGAAATCATACAAAGTATGTTCTCCAACCATAATGGAATGAAATTAGAACTAAACAACAGAAAGAAATTTGGGAAATTCACAAATTTGTGAAAATTAAACATACTCCTAAATAATCAATGGAAGAAATCACAAGAGAAATTAAAAAGTACTAGACAATGAATATAAATGAACACGTATTACACCAGAACTTAAGGGATGTATCTAAAGCAATGCTTAGAAGGAAATTTATAACTATAAAAGAAGAAATGATATAAAATCAATAACCTAAACTTCCACCTTAGGATACTGGGAAAAGAGCAAACTAAACCTAAAGCCAACAAAAGGAAGAAAATAATAAAAAACAGAGTGGAAATTAATGAACTAGAGAATAGAAAAACAGAGATAATCAATAAAACCAAAAATTAGTTCTTTAAAAAGACCAACAAAATTGATAAATCTTTAGCTAGAATGATTGAGAAAAAAAGAAAAAAGACTCAATTACTAGAATTAAAATGAAAGAGACATTATTAGTGATCTTACAGGAAATAGAAAGGATTATGAATGAGTACTATGAACTTAGATGAAAGGGACAATTCCTAGAAAGACACAAAACTACCAAAACTATCTCAAGAAGAAACAGAAAATCTGAATAGGTCCATGACAAGCAGAGACTGAATAATTAAAACAATAAAAACTGCCCACAAAAGAAAACTTCAGGCCCAGATGGCTATACAGGTAAAATTCCACCAAACATTTAAAGAAGAATTAATATCAAATTCTTGCCCCTCGAATAAAAGGAATACTTCCCAACTCATTCTATTCACTCCTAGGTATACCACAAGAGAAATGAAAGCAAACATCCACCTAAAAACTTGTACATGAATGTTCACAGAAACATTATTCATAACAGTCAAATGGTGAAAACAACCCAAACATCCATCAACTGATGAAGGGATAAACAAAATGTTGTATATCTATGCAATGGAATATTTAGTCATTAAGAAGAATAAAGTACTGATACATGCTACAACTTAAATGAAACCTTGAAAACATTATGCTAAGTGAAAGACACACAAAAGGCTACTTATTATATGATTCCATTTATATTAAATTTTCAGAATAGGCAAATATATAGAGACAGAAAATAGATTAGTTGTTCCCTAGGGCAGACTGGGAAGAGTCATGTTGGAGGCAAATGACAAGTGACCACTAATGGGTGCAGAGTTTCTTTTCAGGGTGATAAAATATTCCAAAATATGGTGAAGGTTGCATAACTAAAAGCCATTGAATTGTATACATGAAATAAGTGAACTATATGGTATGTGAATTATATCTCAATAAAGCTGTTTGAAAAGACCTAAACATTAGCTTATAGTACATGTGTACTAATTTTCTTTATGAAAAAATTCTTTAGAGCAACACTGTCCAAAAAAATACAAGCCATGTGTATAATTTTAAATTTTCTAGTAGTCACATTTTAAAAAGCAAAAAGAAAACAGGTAACATAGTTTATTAAACCCAATGCATCTAAAATATTATCATTTCAGTATGTAATCAACATGAAAAAATGAATTTTACTGTTTTGGAGGACTAAGTTATCTAAATTAGGTATGTATTTTACATTACAACACCTCTCAATGTAGACTAGCCACCTTTGAAATACCTACATGTGGTGGCTGCCATATTGGACAGTACAGATCTAGAGATAAAATTAAGAAAGAAAATCTTGCTACACTGTTTTTCTATTTAGAAGTATGAAGTTCTCTAAATGCTAGCAAAAGAAAGGTGAATCCAATTTTCTCTTAAAAAAAAAAAGGCACAACTACTAAAAAGCTCATGAGAGGAAGCTTATTGGTTCTATCCTATCTGTTCAGTCCGAAGTTTCTGGTCTTTAGCAGCGAGTGACCTGACTACCAAAATATGGATTCAGCCTATCATTAAGGCTCCCTCACACTTTAACATTCTACTTTTGGTTTACGTGTGGTAGCCCTAAAACACATTTAAAAAAGGATGAAATACATGCAATTTTACAGTCACCTTCCAATTATGTAAAGGTGCACTAAGTATACCAAGGCATAAGTAAGTGAAACTTGGTTTAATTTTTTGTTATATCATTACCAATTGTTTACTGTTATTTTTGTTACATAACTTTGTGTGAAAGATGAGACAAAAGGAAATACTTTTAAGGGTATGCTTCTAATCCTGTCCATAGAAGAAAAAGAGGCTCAGAAAGATAAAAAGCAGCTCAGCTTTGCTATCAGTCTGAATATTTACCTGCTGATCCATGCATCAGAGTAGTTCATTAAAAGAAAGAGAAGAAAAGGACAGGCTAGGAAAGCTGGTTAGTTAGACACAATCTAAAGTATGAGAGCCACTCTTCACAGTATAGTTTAAAAAAATACTGAGAATGGAACCATATTAAACCATAAGTCTAAAAATATTCTAATGCCAGACAGAAAAACTTTTAGATACCTATTGCTTATTCCCTGTAGGCAAAAATAGTCTAGTTGACTGTCAAATCAAATCATCTTTTTGATTACTTTGAGAATACAAGGTCTGTCTGGAAACTATCCAGCCCCATCGTTACTATGAGAATGGTTTGTGCAACACTGATGTAACCTGGCAGCCAAGGAGAGCGGGATGTGCATATGTGAACAATGACGACCTCACTGTACTAGCGAGTGGGGCGCTAGATGCTATTGAGCGAGCATGTGTGGCCATCACATTCAAAATGACTGATCAAGTAAAGCGACGAATCTGCATCAAATTTTGTGTTAAGCTTGAATGTTCCTCTGTGGAAACTATTCAGATGATTCAGGAGGCTTTCAGGGACAATGTGATGAGCATAGCGCAAATAAAAGTGTGGTACAAACGCTTCGAAGATGGTCAAGAACCTGTTGAAAGTGATCTATACTCTGGAAGGCCTGCAGCAAGCAGAATACTTGAGAATGTTGACTCTGTACAGGCTGCAATCAACAAAGATCGGTGACTCACAGTACGAGAACCAGAAACTGATCTGGGGATTGCAAAAACTACTGTGTCCGAGATTTTGACACAAGCGGAAGGCACATCGTGCTACATTTGCTAATGACTTGTTTCAAACCGCTACCGATGAACCAGATTTCCTCAAGAAGTTTATAACCAGAGATGAATCATGGGTCTACAGCTATGATCTGGGAAGGAAGGCGCAGTAGTCCCAATGGAAGTCACCTGGTTCTCCATGCCCAAAGAAGGTGTGGCAAAGTTGCAGCAAGATCAAGACCATGTTAACTGTATTTTCTGGGAAGGTATTGTCCATCACAAGTACATTCCTCCGGGCCAAACAATCAATAAGGAATACTACCTCAATACTCGTTGTCATTGTTTAAGAGATGCAATGCAACAAAAACAGCTGCAGCAGCCATGGGCAACTGGTGATTGGCAGGTTCATCGTGACAACGTGCCTGCCCACGCATCACATCTTGTGCACAGTTTTCTGGCGAAACATCAAATCACCCAGGTGCTCAGCGCCCCCTACAACCCAGATTTGGCGCCTTGTGACTTCTGGCTTTTCCCAAAAGTAAAATCATCTTTGAAAGGGAAGAGACTTTAGACCCTCAATGAGATTCAGGACAACAGGAACAGGCAGCTAATGGCGATTCCATCAAAAGATTTTGCAGGGTGTTTTGAACAGTGGAAGAGAGCTGGGAGAACTGTGTGAGGTCCCAAGGTGTCTACTTTGAAGGGGACTGAAGCGTCATTGTTCTATGCACGTTTCTTGTATCATCTTCAATAAATGTCTCCATTTTTCATATTACATGGCTGGATACTTTCTGGACAGTCTTCTATGTTTATTATATATAGCAGAGCAGTCATGCATATCATAAAAATATAAATTTACATAAAAGAAAATAAGTCAGGCTATGATTTCTGCTTTGTAAAGTAGAATGCTTTAAATACCGTGAAATTCTCTGCATTTAAAATATGATTTCTCTTACAGAACTTCAATTTATACACAATTTTTCAGGAATGTATTTATTTTATAAATTGAAGTATGGTCTTTAAAGATTTTTGTCTTTTTACCTGCTTAATTGTGTTCATATGCTGCTTCTCTGTTTCTGTTCTTTTTTTTAGTTCTTCTCTTAAATTGTCTTTTTCTGAACAAATATCTAAGATGAGATCCTGATGCTTCTTATTTTCTTTAATTAACCTAAATACAAAAAGGGCAGTATAAGTAAAACATAATTAAAAATGGAGATAAAATGACAGGTGGAATAGAATCTGTTTACAGATTAGGGTGTAGAAACCTATGATTATAATAAATTAGCATTCCTAGGTAATCCTTTTATAATGAAACATGATACTTTGCAAAACAATCTCTGGCCATGTAGGTTATTAACTTTTTCCTAGAAATGTGTATATTTCAAATCAAGCGAAATATAATCAGTTAAAGAAAACCATACCCTTCTAAATTTATGCCTTTGGGCATCTCCATTACGAACCATATCCCTCGGCACTGGAACCCTTAAGATAAGTGATTCTCAACCAAAGGCAATTTTGCCCCTCCAGGCATTTGTTTGGAGACATTTTTAGTTGTCACAACAGGAGTAGGGGTTGCTACTGGCTTCTAGTGGGTGGAGGGCAGGGATGTTGCTAAATTATACAAAGCACAAGACAGCCCCAACAACAACAAAGGATAATCTGACCCAAAATGGCAATAGTGCTGAGGTTGGGAAATCTTGCTTTAGATTTTTAAAACATTTTAATGATATTTAATAGTTATAATGTGTAGTCAATGTAAACTAACAACAGTTTAAGCAAAAATTTCAAGTCCCCCAGAAAAATAGAAATTGTACAAACTGCCTGCAAAGTACTCAGAAATATAAGGTACGTAAGAAGGTTAACAGCTAATATGCCAGGATTATTAATAGCAATAGCTATTAGCTAACATTTTTTGTACACTTACTATTGGCTAAGTTGAGCTTTTTTTAAAAACGGTACATTTCATTTAATAGTCAATATAAACCTATGAACTTATCACTTCTGTTTTATCAATTTAAAAAAAGCAAAACAAAACTAGCCTAGAACTTGTACCAAATCATACAGCTAGTAAGTGGTTGAATTTTGTTTTGGATACAGCTCTAACTCCAAAGCCCAGGCCTTTCTACCTTCTACTTTGAAGATCACTTATTCACTCAACCAGTGCTTACTAGTACCTATTGTATGTCAGCCAACAGTCCCTGTCCTGCCCTCATGGAGCTTACATTCTAAGGCACTGATACCCAACCTTTTTGGCACCAGACTGGGGTTGGAGGGGCTAGGTGGAGGGGAGCCCGGCTCAGGCAGTAATGCCAGTGATGGGGAGGGGAGCAGCTGTAAATACAGATGACACTTTGCTTGCTTGCCCACTGGCCTGGGGCTTGCGGACCACGGTTCTAAGGGAGAAAGTAAAAACAGCCAATAAAAAGATAGATATGTCATAAAATGTCAGGTAGTAACTAAGTCCTATTAAGAAAAATAAAGGACAGCAAGAAGACAGAAAGTAACTTGAGTTGCAATTTTAGATAGGTAGTCAGGACAGGCCTCTCTGGGGAGGTGGTGGTGGTAGAGCCGAAGAACGCAGTGAGGAAGCAAATCATACAAATGTTTGACGAAGAGGCAAACGCATGCAAGTTCATTCAAGCCTTTTAAGCACAGTGGTTTAACTTAGATTATTTCTGTGATTAATGTGTATACTCAATATGGTACAGGAAACTACACAAGACACAAGAATCCTGGCTATAGGTCACAAGTAAACAAGTAAGAGAGGGGGAAGCGAGGAACAGTAAGCACTCAAATTGTTATTTTTATATGCCAAATGCACATCCTATACACAGATAACTGTTCTTAATTAAGAATTTTGGTTAGGACCTTGGACAATACTATTGACGTTTTGGAAAACAGGGGCACAAAAACAGAGAACAGAATGGTGGTAGGGGAGATGTTGGTCAAAGTGACAACAGTCAAAGTGATGATAACACCACAATGTACACTTGAAATTTGTTAAGAGTAGATCTTAAGTTTTCTCACCACACACACACACACACACGTGCGCACACACACACACACAAAAGGTAACTATGTGAAGTAATAGATATGGTAAGTAACTTGATTGTAGTAATTATTTCACAATGCATATCAAATCATCACATTGTATACCTTAAATATATATAATTTTGTCAATTATACCCCAATAAAGCTGGGAAAAAAGATAATAGGGGAATGTATGTATAAACAAAGATATCTGGAAACAGATGCATTCATGAAAATTTCAAAGAAACTGAAAGGTAGTTTTCTTCATAGAATATTAAATGAAGGCAAAAGTTAAGGAAAAACATGTAGCTGTTTTAGAGCTGATCTGAATCACAAATCATTTTATTTGGAATTAAAAATACGTGTATAACAAAAGATTAACCTAGATTTAAAATATTTGACATTTGTATAATGCCTTAATATCCACAAAACAGTTCTATCAGATATTGTCCTCATTTAGATAAAATACCCTTCACTAAAAGAGGTTGATTTGGCCAACACAATAGAGCTTGTAAATGGCAGTGGGAATCTTCCAACTCCAGGCATCTATCAGAATTATGCTTAACCTCACTCACCCATGCTGCCACTGTTCTGACAGGATGGAGCAAAATAAAGGAATCAATTTTTTAGTATATTTCTAATATTTTTAGATAAATTTAACAACTCAACTAGTGCACTTCTGATAACCACATTTAACAAAACTCTGAAGCCCAACTGATGAGGCTCAGATCTTAACTTTACATTTATTAGCACATGACTTTGAACAAGTTAATGTCTATGCTTCATTTACTTCATCTGTAAAATGGGATAATAATAGTACATGCCTCAGAGAGTTGTGAAGATTTCATGAGTTAATATATCTAATGTGCCAGACACATAATTTACAACATATAAGTGTTTGTTGCTATTATTATTAAGTGTACAACACTTATAATTTACAAGAGAAGTATGAAAGTGGTAAGAGTCCAGATCTAAGGAAAGTGGGAAGACATCAGAGACAATCTCAAGGGGAAGGTCTAAAAGAGTAAGTATGGACTGCAGGCAAATGAGGACGTTACCCCTTAAAAAGCAAGAAGAGCAGAAGCATGGATGTTTCAAGCATAAATTGACCTAATAGCAGTATTCCAGTAAGGATAAGAGCAGGAGTAGCAGGCATTCGTTTTGGGATAGTATTAAGAAGGGCCTTGGAGTCCTGAAGAGATATTTGTACACCCATGCTCATAGCAGCATTATTCACAACAGCCAAAAGGTAGAAGGAACCCAGAAGTCCAGTGATGGATGGATGAATATGGTATATCCATACAATGGAACATTATTTAGCCTTAAAAAGGAACAAAATTCCAACTCATTACTACATGGGTAAACCTTAAGGATGTTATGCTAAATGAAATAAGCCAGTCACAAAAAGACAAGTACTATATGATTTCACTTACATGAGGTATCAAGAGCAGTCAGACTCATAGAAACAGAAAGTAGAACGGTGGTTGCCAGAGGCTGGGGGCAGGTGGGAATAGGGAGTTGTTGTTTAATGGGTATAGAGTTTCAGATTTGCAAGGTGAAAATGTTTGCAGATTGACTGCACAACAATGTGAATACAATTCGCACAAAGGAACTGTACACTTAAAAGTGGTTAAGATGGTAAATTTTATATTATATATATTTTATTATAATTAAAAATAAAAATTAAAAATATGGTAAAAAGGGCCCTGGATACTAAGAGATTAAACGTTCACTGGATAAATCAATGAAGGGTGAGCTGGTTTGGGGAAAACTGATCAACTGAGCAGGATAATCTAGAAAAGTAAAGGCTAGAAGCATGGAAATCATTAAAAACCAACTTTGTAACCATAGTGATATATTTTCTTCTGTCATCCTCTTCTGGTATATGGACTTCCTCCCTCCCTTTCTCTACACACGCCCATACACCCCTAATTCAAAAAAATATTTTAAGTATCACTTTTTTAAAAGAGTCTGTATTTTAATTAAGGCTTGTACATTTTATTTTCCTTTCTTAAAGTTTACCAAAAAGTACCTAAACCTATGTATCACTTTGCTATATAAATCTAGAATAAAAATACAGGGTAATATAATACTATTAGGAAAAATACTAAAATTAAACTGTCATTAAAACAGAATTCAAAAATCCAAGAGAAGTCTAAAAATAACTATGTTCTCATTATTAAATGTTAATCAAATAATTCTGTTCTCTAAAATTTTTTAATGAATTTAGAATGAGGATTTAAAAAAAATTTTTTTGGATTTTGACTTCTCATTTCCTTTTGAATTTCTTAGTTTTGACAATATTATACTTCTACATTCTTTCAAAAATAAAAAATTTGAGTTGTCTTTATAAAAATGTCTAACTCTTTAATGAATTTACACTATTTAATATTTATTCCTTTAGACTTAGATGTTAAATAACTAAGAAAACTTGATATTTGTTCATTTATTCAGTAAATACATATTTTTTGCTCAACTACTATATGCATGGATTCCTTGTGGAATTAAAAGTGGTCAAGATGACACTTTCCCTTAAAGAATTCAATCTCTAATCTCTGGGAAAAAAATTACCTAAGAGAATAAAAAACTTACTTTTTTATGGTATGTTCCTGCTGCAAATACTTATCTTGTACACACTTTTCAAACAGAACTAATGCATGTTCTCCCTTATTCATTCCATTTGGTACTCGGTGTTCTTCTGCAAACTCTGTAGATAAGAGCTCAGATTCTATTTCTTCCAACAAATCCTCTGATGCTGAAACATTCTTTATTTTTGAAATAAGTTTCTTGGTGCAGTCTGTATCATAGGGACTTTCTGAATAAGTCTTTTGATTAGCTGCTTCTGTAAATGTAGATGACCTTAATTTCTCCAATATTTGCGTTACTGTCTGTTCTGTTTCATTTGTTTTTGAAACTTGCTTTGCAAAATCTCCATTAGGAAAATTACCTATTTGTTCAGGATTTTCTGGGCATATGTCTGTTTTAGTACAAGAATCCTCACCTCCACCATTATCTGGAATACAATTTTCCTGGGCTTCAATTTGACTATTATGTTCATTAGGCTGACATAAAGTTTTATCAGAGTTTAATGACAACAGTTTGGACTCATTTTCTAATCTGCTGCTTTCATCACCAGAAAACGAGTTGCATGAGTCTTCCTTTAATTCAGATGTTTTCCCAATATTTTTATCAGACGAAATGGAGGCTATGTCCTCTGTCTCTGACATGCTGACTGGCACCAGTTCACTTTGCGCTTCTTCAAATCTGCTTCTGATCTTCGTGTTACATCTAAGAAATCAAAACATCAAAATTAAAAAATTTTTTTTCAGCCAAGATCCCATATATATTTGCACATACATCATGATGTGATATAACTAAGACCACGAACTAATAATTCCTTTAAAAGCCTTTCCCTTTCAAAAAGAAAAAAGACTAGCACAACCAATCCAAGCTGGCTACAACCAGCAGGGCCACTGCAAAGTCTCATCGTCTTTCCTCCTTCACTTCAGTCACAGTTTCACTAATTTCAGTTGCAGTCTGGCATTCCCCAATCATCCCCAGAAAATGATAGTTAAGGAATAATGCTAGTGACTGGAAAATTAGTGCCAAAAAATGTTTAGAATTCTTTCAGCTCCGTGAGGAAAAAAAGACTACCTCAAGAACCTGTAAGAAAATATTGGTGAAGTAAGACAACAATGAAAGCATTAAAAGAGAAATCGCAAACCAAGATAATGGAAAAATGCACATTAATGAAGATAGAAAGTTTACTGAGAAGGAAAACTAAACAATACTAAAGACACACCTACCCATAGCCCAGAGATCTAGATTTGAGCTGAAAGGAAGTCAGGGTGTAAAGAATTCCTGACAGGAACTGGTTTTTTATCCAGGAAGGGATCCAGGAAGTGCTATGGTGATTTTCAAACATTCTCATCAGGAATAAAACAATGTTCAGTGCAAATCAAATGGAACCCACATGCACTGTCTAGGTCAATAAAAGCAACACTAAAAAACTAATTTGGCAAGGTTAGAATAAATTTTTATAATACATTGTTTACAAAGGTTACTTTTCTAGCTATTTTATGAAAATTAGTCAACTTCAAAAACTATGAGACACAAATATAAAATATTTCAGTGATCTTAATGAAAAAGAATTGTGGACTTCTTTTGTCAGGTGTCAGCAAAGCATGTACAAGGAAGGTAAGTTACTGAAGCCATGTGAGGTTAGACTAAAAAGTAGGCAGATCATAGTTTTGACTACCTAGAAGTCATTCAAGATGAGAGATATACTAATAGAAAACAAAACAAAGATTAAAATTTTGAATAACAGAAAAATGCATATTTACATCAGGCTGTGATGGAGGTGGTGGTCAGAGGATGATAAAAAAAAAGAGTGAGAAATTGGTCAGGTAGAATCCTCAGAATGCAAGTGAAAGTGAATTTTGTTAAGAACAAATCATAATAAATTATAGTAGACTTGTATACTGTAGAGTTTCTAGCATATAGTAGGTTCTCAAATATTTGTTGAATTAAAGCCTGCCTGTAAGCACAAAAATGATATGATAAAATTAGTATGTGAGAAACATTATTCTAGGAATGCAGAAAATGGGAGGAATAATGGTAAGAAAGGAAAATAAGACCAGCTTGTTTGTTAAATACCCTGCCTTTTAGTTTAGACTGCCCTTTGGAGCATCAACTAATATAGTCATTGGCCCTAACAGTCTAAATACCTATTTGTATAACATATTTCCAAATAACCAAACAGAAATTATATTTTGCTGCATATATTTTATAAGCAAGCCAAAGCCTACACTAGTATTAAAGGCTTGGTTTAGACAATACAAATAAATGCAATAAGTAAATAAAAGACGTCGTAAGTATTCCGTATTCCAAAATCTAGGACAAAGTAAAATAATTCTCAAACAGGGGCATTGCCAACTACATCACCTTACCCAAAGTAACTCACTTTAAGATATAACCTTGGGAATGTGTTGCTGTTGAATTTAAAATCTTAACAATCTAGAAATCAATCTAAAAACAAATGAAGGAATTGGTCTTAAACATCATAAGTAATTAAGGCTATTCCAACAGAAGTTGAACCCAGAGCTGACCAAAATGTAATGAGAAGCAGATAAAGAATCTATTTAAAGAGATTAATACCGCAAAGGTGTTTTGATACCTCAGCATAGAGAAAGTGAAAAGAAAACTTTAACAACAACTTTATGGTTCCTGTCTATGTGCCATGAGTTGTCAACAGAAAAACACTAAGCAAATATTGGTTTATCCTCTCACCCAGCATTTATATTCCCCAGGATTCAGTTCTCAAGTCTTTTTCCTTCCAATTAGATCATTTGAAGCAACACCCATAGTTGATGCCTACATAATTATTTTCAGTCCTGTACCCTTTAGTTATAGATATCAAATTATCTCCTCTTCCTCATTTGTTCTCTCTATACATTAAAATCTCCACCTGGGCTGAGCACCATGGCTCATGCCTGCAATCCTAGCACTCTGGGAGGCCTAGGAAGGTGGATCACTTGAGCTCAGGAGTTCGAGAACAGCCTGAGCAAGAGTGAGACCCCCATCTCTACTAAAAATAGAAAAAAGTAGCCGGGCATGGCGGCACATGCCTGTAGTCCTAGCTACTCGGGAGGCTAAGGCAGAAGCATTGTTTGAGCTTAGTAGTTTGAGGTTGCTGTGAGCTAGGCTGACGTCACAGCACTCTAGCCCAGGCAACAGAGTGAGACTGTCTCAAACAAAAAAAAAACGAAAACAAAAAACTCCACCTGAATACAGGCATTTCCTCTAGAGGTTCTACCATTACCTCAAACTCAAACTGGCCAAATCCAAAATCATAATTATAGCTCTTGTAATTGAGCACCTCCAGCTTATCTTTTCTATTGTCAATAATATCGTTTTTCTTAGTCATCTGACTCCTTTCTCTCTTTGCCCTCATATTCTTTCAACAATTTCATGTCTCTGCATGTCTACAGCCATTGTCCCCTACCCACAACCCTACTCCGGCCTCTGATCACTTTACACCTGGAAGGCTTAAAATGTTGGTTTCTCAATCTCACTTCATTCCTCCCTCTTGCAACTCCAAGTGAAGGAGCAAGGACGATTAATGGAAGGGTAGGTTACTTGGGACAGCCCCGGGGTGACATAGTACCGTGACAAACAATAGGTCATCCAAACCAGAGCAGGAGTTGAAGTGTGTACTATACTGTTCTGCCCAAGTGGGACTGCCCTATGAAGTGGGTCTTCAGTGGCTAAAGGGGCCAGGGAGCTACAACAGTGCCCCTACAAAATTCACACACTACCTCCACAGACACCACCATCAAATTCAGCCAGATGAACCAGACTGAGGCCAGGGCCGCCACTTCCCTCTTTCAGAGGTTCAGGTAATGAGCGCTCTGCTTCTGCTGGCTCGTCTTCTTCCCCCAACTGGAAAAGGGCTAGCTAGAGAAAGAAGGGAGCATGTCTTAATTATCTCTCTTCTTCAAGCCAAGCAGATGGGAACTAACAGCTTCAAGTTTTCTTCAGGGAGAGTAAGTTTGTGACTTCGGGTTTTTTTGCTTGTTGTGTTTTTTTTTTTTTTTTTAATGACTGGAACCTGTCTTAATTTCCGCAATAAGTTTTCTCTAGTAACCAAAAGTGGCAGAAAAATTGTAACACAAGTGATTGCACTTCAGAGAGCGGTTAAGGGGATGGGGGTTCTTTATACAGCATGACTGGAGGCCAATTAAGCAAAAAATAAAACTATTTCATGTTTACGCCCCGGAATTGAGATTCTTCAATAAACCAGTTGTCCTACTTTTCCAATCTTATCTCTCAACACATTCCTAAAATCCTAGCACTTCACTATACTTTACTACCCTGACCAGTCTACTCAGGATTCCCCAAATAATTCTCCATGGCTTTGCCCCCACCTAGAATGTTCTTCCCTTCAGTCTATCTAAAGCCTAATTATTTTAAAGGACCAATTCTAGTGCCACATCTTCCCCCAAATTTTCCCTCATCACAAGTACAAAAATAATCTCTTAGCAAGTACAAAAATAATCTCTTAGGTAAATTAAAAGACACTGCATTTATACTCATCAAGCACATACAGCCTTTCTTGTGACATTTTTGGACAGGCATAAATGGTCTTTGTACTTGCAAGAACCACCTCACTCTGAACTGAATCAAACTCCTTAAGTCTCAAGCAATATAATAGTAATAATAGACAAATAAATCTAACAAATATATTCTTTACTACATTTGCACTCATTTTTTGCAAATGCTGTCCAGTGGTTCTTAATGAGGGTAGGACTCATTGGTTTTACACAATGATCTGGGCACCAAACAGCATTTAGTAGGTGGGAAACAGGTTGTAAGAAGACTTTCAATGTGCAAAACAACAAAATTTGTCTCAAATCCTGCAAGATATTCATCTAGATTAAAAAAACTGCTTATATAATCACCTAAGCTTAGAATTTTACACATTTTACATATTATCCTCCTATAAATTAAGGAAGACTTAGATTAAGCTCAAAAGACAAGTACTTTCTATAACTTCTTTCATTAATATGTCCACGACTTTTAAAAAATAATCATGTAAATTGGCATCTGATAACCACTTAGCTTGCAAACATAGTTTTCTGATGCTCAAATGAATACTATTTGGAGGCCAAAGGAAAAGGAGAGGGAGTTAACAAAGATTTATGTGTATATATATATATATATAACAAAGCCATCACCAAAGATTAAGAAACTACATAAGAGGGGTGGTAAATGGAAGGGAAAAAAAAAAGCAATCAGCATGATTATGTCCATGATTAACCAGGAGAAAAAAAACAGTCAGCTGAGTCCTCCTGTAGGCCTCCAGTTAGCAATGCTGATGCAGGCCAATTTGACTGCTATACAAGTTTTTCTTTTGGTGAAGGGGGGGAGGATAGAATTGCCTACTAGCAGACTAAAGGGGGAAGTTATAAGAACTAGGATAGAATAGCCTACTAGCAGACTAAAGGAGGAAGTTACAAAACTAGACATTTGTTTACAAGATTGTCTGTCTTAATTTAAGAAGTGCTTGCACAAATCAAATTCACACTCATATATAGTAATTACAAGAACAGAGTACAATTTACGTAGCTTTTTTTCACGTAAAAAAATAACAGGTTATTTTGACTTTTTAGCAACTCTTAGTCATTAGGGGAAATATTGTATTTAAAACAGCATAGTCACAAAATTCCTCCTAATTCAAGCACTGTTTTTTTAACCCCCAGAGTTGTTTCTGTTTCTGACACAGTACTACAGGACCAATTCACACTTCAAAATTGTTTCAGCAGTAGGTGAGAACTGGTTTCGCTCTTACTGGAGCTCATCAGCTGTAGGCAACTGGTCAAGAAACAATTTTTTTTTTTTTTTTTTTGCCTTAAAGACAATCATTATCCACCTTGGATTTTATTTCTTAATGAAAGAACTCACATTTCTACAAAATTATTTCTATACAGAGCCATATAAATGAAAACAGTTTTGTTTTTGTTTTTGTTTTTTTTAACAGCTTTTGGTTCTATTTCCCGTTTTTCTACAAATTAGTACTATAAACAACAAAAAACTTAGGTTTACTCAATAAACTGCAAATACAAAGGAATCCAATCCACAGATATTTGGTAATAAGTTATCAAACAAACAAGCCTCATACAAAGGTACCAAGTCAGGAATGCACTTCCAAACTAGATGTCAATTCATTCATTCACCAAATAAGTATTGAGCAACTATTACGTGCAGACACTATTGTAGGTGTTGGGAATATGGCAGGGAATAAAACAGACACGCCTCATGGGGCTTACATTCTGGTGCAGCGGACCAATATATAAAAGCTCTATGTCAAATCTTTCACTCCTTGTGTTCTGCTGCCAATAAACACTAAACTGTTAGAGATTATATAGTATTTAACATTATATTTTGATCTTGAGGTCTGCCAGTGCTCCATCAGAAGCTATATAGAAAAATGCAATGATTGTTTTAAGTCTAATAGAAAAACCTGACTTAGTTCAGCATAAACATTATTTACAATTATAAATTTTTTAACCATAAATTATACCATTCAAGTCCTAAATAATACCAGTTCTATACTTCTCAAGTAGTATCCATTAAGATAAGCAAGTTGAGCCTATGAGACTACTCCTGTTCTTCAACATAATGGTTTACTGTGCTTTGTAGTTAAGGTTTGTCAAAAGTTTTTTTCTTTTTTCAATATGTTCTCCAAATACACTTTAAAAGCAGCATAAGCAAAAGAATGACTTTTCTTTCTGACTAGTTCTAACAAGAATGACATGGCAATTAAAGTCAGAAGCAAAAATCGAATCAAAAAAGTATCCACACAGTCCAACATAATCTGCTCACCACCCCCTAATAACTGATTTTTTTTTTTTTGAGACAGAGTCTCTGTCGCCCCATAGACATGGCGTCATCAGCTCACTGCAACCTCAAACTCCTGGGCTCAAGCCATCCTCCTGCCAGAGCCAATTGCCTCAGCCTCCTGAGTAGCTTGCACTAGAGGGGCGGACCATCACTCCCAGCTAATTTTTTCTATTTTTGTTAAAGACGGGCTCTCCCTCAGGCTGGTCTTGAACTCAAGCGATTCCCTAGCCTCTGCCTCCCAGAGTGCTAGGATTATAGGCATGAGCCACCGCGCCCAACCTGATTTTTGATAGACATTTACTTTAAAAGACATTTTCCTGGAAAAATATTTTTAAAAATAGAATAAAGGATGAAAAAGAATATGTGTAAGAAACATGGAAACCTTGTTTCACATGATGAAAATATCTGACAATGAAGTTTCATATAATGTGAATTTATGCAGATCAAATTCTTCTTTTAAAAAATAAAAACCGAGCCGGCTATTTCAAAGAAATCTAGTTCTACAAAAAGAAATAATTTTTAAAGTAATCACATCTTATTTTGGAGAAAATTTAACATATTGAGTTTCTTTTAAGTGAAACATAGCACTAAAATTTTTAAAGTTGCCTTTAGTTCAACCGTTTGAAAAGTGTGTTACATGAGGCCAAGGTCGAATGAACCCCATGGGAGTCTGTTTAGCTCTATACCTAATACTCAGGGCAGGGTGAATTTTATGGTATATACATTATATCCCACACACAAAAATGTTAAGAAAAGACTCAGGGGAATAGATTTGGTGCTACTGGAACCCCCAACAGTACCAAATCCTGTGACAGGATAACAGGAGAAAGAGAAATTATGGTCTGTCAAGATTCCAGGAAAAAGAGGGTCAGTGGCCACACCGCACAGCACATTATCAAGTTATATATGTAATATCAGTTTGGTATCTTTTGATTCACGCAATTTTACATATTCTAATACATTTTTAAAATACTAAAGCAGAAAGTTATTAATACAGAAATCTTAATTTGAAGTTACTCGTGTAGATCTCAATATTTGCACTTTAATGAGTCTAAGAAAACATGAAAGTATTTTCAGCTAATTTTTCTTCCAAACCTGAAAACCAAAAGAAAAAATTTATGGGTCAATAGTTCTTTTGAAAAAGGAAGGTTAGTAACTCAAAAAAAGTTTTTTAAAGATAAGTTGTGAGTATGCCTTATATTAATATCAAAGGGTTTTGGTTAATGTTTAAATTCTGAAGCCACCATTGGCCTGGGTTTGGTTAATTTGATATGATGTAGTTTATAAAAAAAAAATTAAATTATTCATTAGCACTTACTACATAATCAATTCTACAATAGACTATCACTTCATGTGTCTTAATGACAAACAGATATTAATAAGAAATATACTCACAATCCAATCAAAACTATGCTGGGGTTGATTTCCACTTTTTGTCTATCACCCCTTCACCCCATTATTTCTCCTTTTATTTACTTCTTAGCTCAAATAAATTTTTAAAATCTCAGTAGCTGAGAAAATTCAAAAAAGTATGAAACAACATAAGATTAGGGGGTCATTTATAGATTTAAATTATCTATGATCCCAATGCTGCCCCTAAAATGAATACTAAATATATAACATTCACAATAGTGTAAGCCCAGTGGTATGTTTATGAGAAATTCAAAAACCAGCTTGAATTATTTAAAGGTAGAGATAAGACACAAAAGAAAAACCCAAGTTTTATCAAAAACAAACAAATAAACAAAAAAAACACCAAAAAACCCAGAACTTCGGGTTAAGATTCTTACTTTAACATGAAACTGTTAGATGAATTTGGAAAACTAGTATAGATTACTAGCTCTTCTTCAAAGGGAAAGATGATTTTCTAAAGTAAATAAGGCTGCCTCGTGCTTCAACCTATCATCTTTCCTAAAGAGTATACTGCACTATTTTACCTTCACTTCATGATGCTAGCATTTAGCTATAAATAGATGTTTCTAAACTGAATATACTAAGCAACCATCATCAGCTATGTTGTCATGGTATAACATCAAAGGGAAACTTGTTTATGGGTAAAGGAACTAAAAGCTTAGAGTGGTCATTGTGCTACACACTAGCCACTCCTTTCTGCTAGCAATAATAAAACTCTGAAAGGCCAATGACACTTTATGGAATCTCTACCGTTTAAAGAAACCCTAACTTTATATGTAGTTAGTTTGCATTAGATTAGGCCTTTAAAAAAATAAAATCAATATAAACACAATCCATGCATCTCCAAGAGAATTCTTCAGTAATTATACGTTTGCCTATTATACTGTAAAAAGGAGTTTTAATTCTTAATACTTCAAGATTTGTGAACTACCTAATATCTTCAATGAATTTAAAATAACATGAAAAGACCAAAAAGAAAGGAAAATGAGAACTAGGCCAACGATCACTGTTTTTTATTTGTGTAACGGTGGAAAAAGAATTGAAAAGCAGATGCAAGGGTAACAGTGTACTTTATACACAGAGATAGTTGAGTTTCATTACCAATGTCTCTTGACCCTTAATCTTTCCTACAAGATGAACACTCTGCAAATATGAAGGTGTAGTTAGTAGTTGGGAAGGCCACACCCACAACTAGCATACCTAACCACTTAATAAATTTTTTGGAATGGCTACCAGCACACCTACTGAAACACTGTTCCCCTGATTTACCCTACATTTGTCTTAGAAAATCACCCAGCCTTTCGTTTTGGAAGAAATAAAAAAGCTGGGCATCAAAGGAACATGACACACATGCAGAGAAAACTGTCCAGTACTTGGGACTGTACTGAATATTTTTACTATATTCTCTCTTCTGATTCCCATAGGTAATAACAAGACTAGCAAGTGAAAAAAATAAGGATTCTAACCGAGGTGTTCTGACAACAAATCAAGGCCTGTTTCCTCTAAACAAAATCAAGATGTGAATATTAGCCTAAGTTGTAAAACTGTTAACAGCTGGGCAATAATTAAACCTGCACTGTTCCCCAGGATTGCTACCTGGGGACACGTGGAAGGTTTTACCATTTTACACGTTTGGTGAGGACATAAATAAGAAACTCCTTTCTTACCAACCACGGTTTACGAAATGTCTTGATGTCCTTGGAAGACAACGTAAAAACAAAGAATAGTATCTCTCTTATCCGTAACCCCAAAGAATCGTTTCCAAAGAATTTAAAGTCACAGTAATGGAGCGTTCGGAAGGGGGTAACAAGTTGCCACAACAGTAAACGTAACATACACACACAGTCAACTTGGAGACGGAAAGCAAAAACAGGTGACTGAGGCTATGAAAGGTACTCGAGCAGGTGGGGCTTAGCAGCAGTTCACACTCGCAGCCCAGGCCCAAATCCCGTCGCTTTCGAGGTACAGCCCCTACGACCCCTGCCCACCCGTCTGTGTCGCCTCCCTCCCCTGGCGGCCCGGGACCCGAAGGAGGGAGGCAGGGAAAAGAAGGGGGCTCCGAATCCTGTGCTCCAGCCCTCGCCTTCCTTCCTCTGGCCCCAGAGAAGCTAGGCAGCGGACCGGCTCGCCCCCGCCCCAGGACCTGCAGGACAGCGCAAGAGGTTGGCAGCCCCATCGCGCCGCCACCGCGGCTCTCGGGCTCGCCCCGGGAGCCCCTCTGGCACTCACCGCACTTCTCCCAGCCTCAGGCCACACCCTAACGAAGCCGCTGGAGCTCCAGCTCAGGGGCCAACTTCTTCATAGCGGGGTCCGGCAGACCAGGAGTGGGAGGGAGAGACAGCAGCTAGGAAGAGGGCCGACACTTCGCTCTCTCCGCCGCAGCTTCCCCAAACACCCGCTGAGCTGACACATCAACAAAGATGGCGGCGACGCTGAGACCGGCCCGGCTACAGCTGAGGGGGCGGGGCTCCCTGGAAGAGCCAACCAGCGCGGCACGGGCGGCGTGACGCGACATACCTTGAGGTTACCAGTAACCTGTCTGCAGTGGGCGGGGCCGGAGGAGCACCGCCTCCTACCTCGCGGCCCCGGGAGGCCCCGCCCGGCGCTTAGGCAAGCCCGGCACCTACGTTCACGCTAACCTGGCGAGCCGGCTGTCCCGTCCTTAGTCCTGTCACGCCTTTCACGCCCCTCCCCAACCCAAGCAGGTTGTTTCTCTCAGCGGGAAGCACTCATTGGATGTTATCCCTCCTCACCCTTGGCCTGTCTTCGGATGAGTCAGGGGCATAAAGCAATAAAAGAGAATTCCAAATTGTGGCTTCCCGGCTCTGATGCGCAAACCTTGCACTTAAGGTGGGTGGAGTCAGCAGTAGCAGCTTACCTGCTGGTTAGACAATTCAATCCTGGGCGAGACCTCGGAGGATTTCGATAACAGCCAAGTTTATATCTTCAGCGTGGCGCTACTGCCATTGTTTTATAATAAACTGTTGGTGCGTTCATCTCCGGCACCAAACTGTGAGCGTCTTGAGGGCAGGGGTTGCCCTCTCCTGGTTGGTTGTCCCAGGACGCAGCGTGGCAACGAAAAGTGTGTTGAATACGGTTGGCTACCTAGGTCCGGAGAAGGAAGGCGAGTAGCTTTAGTCTGTGGAGGTTTTGCAAACCTCCTCTGTTCAGTGAAACGATTTCTTTGGTTTAAGACTTCTTATGCACAACTCATGAATGAAAATAGTTAATTCACACGAGTCTTCAATGCAAGAGTATATAAAGCACAACTTACTACCATTATGTTAAGCTTCTTTGATACTAACTGCTGTCAAATATATATATGTATATACACACACACACACATACACACACACACAACTGTATAACTCTGTTCCTCTTTCCTTTTCAACATGAAATGGTACTGGCCTCCTTAAATGATGATACTGCATTAAAAAACACACTTTTCAGTTAAAGTGTTTGTGACAGTAAAAAATTATTTGACTCTAAAGCAATAAATCGACCGAACATTTCTAATGAGATATATTAATCCAAGGGGGGGGGGAATCGAAGAAACCTTAAGCTGTTTTTAACATTCATAGTGTCAGTAATAACATTGGCATAGATATTTCTGAATATTTCTGAATTTATAATTAGTATAAAGCATATAAATCTCTTTGGGAACCAAGTTTTTCACTATAAAAGAAACACAAATATAAACCAAAGAAATTAAATAATTCTGTAATCCTATATTTGAATTTAGAAATATTGGAATGAATTTATGGTGCATTTTTTTCATTAAAAAAAGTCTGTCCACTGAAAAGGCCTAGAACAATGACCAACCCAACGCACGCCCCTATTCTCCAGACTATGATCTCTAAATATCATTTCCCAATAAAAGTTAATAGGCTCAATCAAATGGTTGCTGTGGGGAAGTTCTTCTCTATAGAATTTCACGTAATAAATGCAGAAGGAAAGATGGACTATCGCCATTTCTCAAACCCTAATGAAATAACGGATCTAGGTAATGTCGGTCTAGATCCATTAGATGAAAGCTGATGGGAAACTTGATAATGCATGGAGGGGGCTGACAACACTTGAACTTACTAGAACAATCTTAATATCCCTTCAAGTGAAACAACTACACATTATATATCTTCTGATGTGCTGCAATAGAGAAACACAACACCAATTGTGAGGTATTCTTGCCAAAGGGGATGCAATCAACAAAATCAAATATGAGAAGAACTGCAGTTATTTCAATCAGTAAATTCTAAGAAAAGTACAGGATTTTTAAAATTTTTCTTTTTAAAATACAAAACTGAGTGCAAATACAGGATCTTGTTTTAATCCTGAATTTAACATACCAACTATTAAAAATAACATTTGACACTATCTGGAAATTTTAAATACTGACTTTATGATATTAAGAAATTATTGTTAAAAGTGGGATAAATTTTGGTGATGTTATTTAAAAGTCATAATCTCTTAAAGACACATACTTAAATATTTACAGATGAAAAGATACAATATCCAGAAAGTAAGAAAGTGCTCAAAGACAAACAAAAATAAAGCCCCACAGTGATGGAGTATGGGAAAGAACAGGAACCAACTGAAAGAGCTCCCAGCAGCCAAAGCCGGAACAATTTGAGCAAGGAAATACAGTAGTATCGGATTATAACCTAAATATAAAATAAATATCCTTGAGTCCATACTGATATAAATAGATGACTGAATAAGTTGATGAGGGAGAAGAGTATGCAGAAATATTTCAAATAATTATTGTAGATACTCCACCCTCAGGGAGGCAGAGCATACCTCCCTACTCCTTAGATGTATGTTCCAAATAATGGCTTCCTTTTACAGTGTATAGTGTGGGAAGGAGGGGGGGAAAGTAATTTCATGGTAGAGAAACCTAACAAACACTACTTCAGCCAGATGATCAAGTCCAACGTCAATTGTCATAAATGATGTTCATAGGATGTTCGCTTGATATGATGCACTTTACCTCTGGAGTCTTCCTTCCAATAATGCATAACTCCATTTTAATCATGAGAAAACAGACAAATTCCTACAAAAGGCCTGACCTGTACTCCAGGAAGCTGTACAGGTCATCGAAACAAGGAAAGTTTGAGAAAATGCCACAGCCAAGGAGACCTTAAGGATACATGACAACTAAACGTAATGTGATGTCTTGGATGGGATCCTGGCTCAGAAAACGGACGATAAAAACTAAAGAAATCTGAATAAATTATGAACTTTAGTTGACAATATACGCATATTGGTTTGTTAATTGTCAATGTATCATATTAATAGAACACGTTAATAATAGGGGAAACTGGATGTGGCTTATGTGAGAACTCTCTGTATAGTACTTTCTTTTCAATTTATTCTGTACGTCTAAAACTTCTAAAAATATATTAAAAAGAAAAAAGCTAAAAATCTGGCATTTGCTTCAAAACATTGCACGAAGAGTGACTGGGGTACACATGTAGACAAGATTGATAATAAACTGATAATGTTGGAACTGGGTGGTGGGTACACTGGGGTCCCATTCTTCCGAATTTGTTAGAAAAGTCCCACAGCAAAAAATAAAAAAAATAAAAAAGTTAAAAAATATTTTCTTTGACCAACACCAACGGAATCACATGCCCTCAGTCAGAAAAAGAGAGAGAGAGAAATCACGTGTATGCAGTTTCCAAGACCAGGCAGAGGCACTGGATTAATTTGAAACCTTGAAAGACCTTTATGTGGCTAAGGCGACCCAAGTGGCTTTTGCGGAGACAAGGTGTGCATCTTTGCACTCAAAATTTGCCTGCCCACGGAGTTCCCAGGGACACCTTTCTAGGAGAAGTTCGAACACATAGCTGCATAAAGTTTCCGCAGAGGAACTTTCTGAGCCCGCAGCCTCCGCACCCCACGGCAGCACAAGCCTTGGAGAACAGCGCGCATCCCCAGGGCCAGAGCGCAGCTTCCCAGAAACCCGGAGGGCGCACGTGGCCTCGCGGGGCGCACGTGGGCGCCGACTGCGCAGGCGCCACGCTGGAACCTGGGGCCTGCTGGGCCTTGGAGGCCAAGTGAGCTCAGGGAGCGCACGTAGACAGCGGGGCTCCCGGGCAGCTGCAGTCGCCACCACGGCCAGACTTCCGAGACAGGCCGGGGTCAGTGGCCCTTTCGCCTCTTTCCAGGTCAGGGTTCCCAGGCGCACGAGGGTGGGAGAGGGGCTGCATGAGGGCTCCAGGGCTTCCGTCGTTGGGGGCCAGACGTTGGGGGCTGGACGTTGAGGTTGGGCGTTGAAGTCGGGCGTTGAGCGGGCACAAGGGTCCTGCAAGTAGAGAGAGGAGGGAAGGGTAGACACTTTGGAGCCTTGGCCGGGAAGGGCCGGTCTGGGGTTGGAGGTTTGGGTGTGGGGGGCTGTGTATTGATTGGAGGAGCGAGAGGCTCAGGACCTGAGGCCTGGGCAAGCCGGGGCGCCCCATTGTGTTTCGAAATAGCACTTTCGGGTGTGACTTCTCAAAATGTGAGCTTTCCCCTTCTCTCTAGAAGAAACTTGTTTGTGGATTGAGTTCCTTTGTTTAACTCAAAGCCACAGTGCAAGCTATATTAATATTTTATTAGACATTTTTTCCCCTAACACCTCCTCCCTCCTTTAGGAAAGGAAGATGCGGCGAGGCATTCACTTATGTATGGGTAAGCTGGTGCTGGTTCATTTAACGAGTGCTTCTAGCTTGTCAACTGTGTGCCAACAATAGCTTTTCTTGGCACTAGGGCCCTCGCTATAAATGTGTTTGCTCTGCCAGGCCTCTGAACTAAGGGAGCTGATGTTTCTGGTTCCCTTAGCGAGGCACAAACGGGACTGTGTGCAAAAATGCAAGGCCATAGATTCTGACCTGCATTTTCATTTCAGCGGTGTAAGGTGCTTACTTCAATTCCCCACGTCTCCCTTGTTCTTTTTTAGGAACAACGAAATAAGAATACTTTAATCCTCAAATTGTTTCCATCCTAAACGTGCAAACTGGTTCCACATGAATGGAAGAAATTTTGTGTGTGTTTAGGCGTGGTATGAGAGTAAAGTAGAAATGATAGCAGCCCTTTCAGTACGTAGGTAGCACCAGCCACTGTGCTAAGCGGTTTACGGACAGTCTCTCATTTAATCCTCATGATTAGAATTTATGAGGAAGTTACTGCTTCTGTCCACGTTTTACAGTCGCTGAATCCTGGAATAGATGAAGTGGTTTGCCCAAGATAGCATAGCTAAATGGAGAAGTTGAGACTTGGATCAGGCTAGTTTCAAAGCTCATGCTGTACCGAACCATTGAGTTTTGTAGCTTTAAGACAGAGTGTTTCCTTTGAGTAGAAGAATGGCTCTCATTGAATGCATGGGGTTACCAGGAAGACAAAGCAAACACTAGAGAAGGAAAAATATTAAAGCTAAGTGTTCTCTCTGTATGCACGTTTAATATGCTG